TGGTGGGGCTCCCTGAGGGGTTTGGGGGACCCGCGGGGTTTTGGGGGTCAGTTGATGGGTTCCTCCTCCCAGGTGGAGGTGGGAATGGCGCTGTAGGGATCCACCACCAGCCGGGCACAGCGCACGGTCATGGCGAGGAGGAAGAGCCCCAGCAGCACCACGAAGGCCGTGGCCACGGCTTTGTCCACGTCCAGGGCGGGCAGCCCTGTGGGGGTCTCCATGCAGGGAGCCTCAGGTGTCTCCTTCCCAGCTCCAGGCACCGCTCAGGTGTCTCCTTCCCAGCTCCGGGAATCCTCCAGCGCGTGTCCCCCAAGCGCTCAACTCCCAGTGACGTCCCTGAGGGCCAGAACCAGGGGGATCATGAGGCTGAGGGGTCAAAAACACCCATAAAAAAGGGAAAATGTGGCCTTGGGTCCCCTCTGCTCCTTCCTTACCTCCCTGCGGCCAGTGCTGGGTCTCTGTCCTGGCCCGGCTGGCTCCAGGCCTTCATGAATTCTGCAGGAATGTGGGGATCACCTTTCAGACACAAACCAGAGGATTAAATTCCAACCCCGCACCCCCTTCTGCCATCAGGAGAAGGCTCTGGGTCCCTTCACGGGTCCTCCCGGTGACTTGGGGTCATTCGAGAAGTGCTGAGGAGGATCTATCCCCAAAAGCCTTGCCTGTGAGAGGATTTCAGGATAGTTCTTTGTTTATGTTGGAATAGACCAGAAAAAACTCTTGAAAAATACATTGAACTGAGGTGCCCATTTGGGTCTTGCAAGACAGCCTCATGAAAACCCCAGAACACCCAAAATATGCCAAAAATCTCCTTCGAATTTCCTTATTTTTGTACTCTGAGACAAAAAATGATCACTTTGGGAAGACAGTGAAACTTTGACACACCATGAGTTGGTAGTTAATGTAGGGATTTTCCAGAGATTTTTCAGGAAAGGATGAGTTTTAGGGTCCTGTTGGTGACCCCAAATCCCAATCCTGACTCAAAAACCTGTTCCAATCCCAATCCCAGTTCCGAGCCAAATCACATGTCCAGTCCGGATTCGAATCTTCCTTCCCTGGGTTTTAGAACCACAATTACAATTCCTATTCCAATTCCTATTCTAATTCCTATTCCAATCCCAATCCAATGTTGCGTGACGTAATCAACCCCTCCCACAATAGCCACGCCCAAAAGAGCCCCGCCCACCAAAAAAGCCCCGCCTCATCCCCGGTGGGGGCGGGACACAGCCGCGTTGTCCCGCCCCCTGGTCGTGCCCTCCCGTTGTCTCGCCCCCGGCCCTCCGTTTGGACCAATAGCACTTCCGCGTCTCCCCCTGTCCCTCCCCGCGCCCCCCGCTTGAACCAATAGGAGGCCGGCGTGGAGCTGGCCTCGCCCCCGTGCCTGTGAGGCCGGTGGAGGTTTTCCTGCGCCGCCATCTTGGCTCGGCGGAGCGGAGCGAGGAGGGGGCGGCCCGGGACCCCCGCCATGGCTGCCACCGCCGCCAGCGCGGGTGAGCCCGGCCGCGGCTTCACGAACAGGGCTGGGGATTGCCCTGAGAGGCCGGGGGAGTTCAGGGAGGGCATGGGGA